TTGGATCGAAACAGATGTGATCAAAGTTATTTAGCTTAATTAATTTTGAAAATTTCAAATCACAAATAGACAGTAGGCCTTCTCAAGGCCCCAGTCTCTAACCGATATTATGAATTTAGCGTTAAATGAGTTTCTGATGGGTACTTTCCAAGCAAATTAACCAACTTACAGTGCCAGCTGGGGATCGAACTGCCTACAGGAAAAATGGTGGGTGTGCAGTCTACTTTAGGTAGTGTCATACTGAGGTGTCCCTCTTAAAGAGAGTAAAAGTAAATGACTGAAGAATGAGAAGGAGCCGCTATGTAAACTCAAGGTGACTTTTTAGGGAGGGAAAACATGTTGGGATTGTGTAAAGTTCCATGTTGGGTGGTTGAGGTAAGGCTGGGTGTGTGCCATTGGGTCAAAGTTGTGAAATTTATTGAAAATTGATGATTTCACTTTTTGATGATTTCACTTTTATTTCAGATTTTAAGTGATCGAAGTTGTTGTCCAGTTTCATTTGCTAAAGTTCAGAAAGACTTCTACGCCACTGTGACATCAAACAACACATGAAATTAAACTAAATATTTTATTACCAAAAATTAGTTTGTTTGTACAAAATAGCTTATGACCACTCATTCCTGCAATACCGATAAAATTTTTACATCAACTAAAAAAATTTAGCATTTTTGCGGTTGTGGATCCAAGAAAAATGTGATCTTTTTTCAACATGAGAAACACATTAAAAGCATTGATATTTAATAATTAAAGGAGACAATTTTGTCTTGTCACGCAATAGACCTTTTCACGGTTTTTTCAACTTTTGACATGGACAAGTTTGGAAAAAAACTGTCGACACCACTGGAACAAAAAAAATATGTTTTTTTTTAAAAAAAGAAAAAAAAAAAAAAAAATTTATTTTTAAAAAAAAAAAGGAACAATTTTTTTTTTTCCCCCAAAAAACCTTTTTTCGGTTTTTTTTAAAAGGAAAAGTTTTGAAAAAAACTTCGACCCCCCCCGGGGGGGGGCCCCCCCCCCCCCCCCCCACCATGTAAACATCTGTAAAATTTTGTGACTTTGGGAGCTAAACCTTCTTTAGTTTTCAACAAATCACTTTTCACAGTAGGCAATTTTACTCTGAAGGCGCTCTTTTCAGTAGTGTCGACAGATTTTCCCAAACTTGTCCATGTCAAAATTTGAAAAAAGCCGTGAAAAGGTCTATTATCCCTTTGAGGGGGAAGGAAAATGGCTGTACTGGCCTTAGGTCATCTTCAAACTATGTGACATGTAAGGGAGTGTTTACATGACACTGGGGCGACTTTTGGGCTGGCGCGAGTTCACTCCAGTTCCCTCTCATGGCTCTATATTTGTTTACATGATACCACTACAAAATGTCATGCCGGCACTAGTCACCCTGGCGTGAGTTCACCCCGGTTGTTGTACCAGGACGAGAATTTCACTCTGGTACGAAATCTAGCAATGGTAACATGTAAGCACAAAACGACCACTCGTCTCGGTGTGAAATCAGTCTGCCGGTAAACTGGAACGGGTAGCGCATGCATAATGTTTGCAATTTTAAATCACACGTGTATTTTATCAACATGAAGTGTACCTTCCAATAACGAGATCTGAAATGACCCAGTCCTCATGTAAACGTGACACAAAATCAAAAAGTCATGCCAATATGAAACTCGCACCGGTGTGAGTTTTCTCACGTAAACACTCCCTAAGAATGAAACTGTCCTCTACTATATTTTTACACCTGCTGAGATCATTGCCGCTCTGTAACATTTAAGCTCAAACATTTGTGCTATATACAGTCAAACCTCTTTGACACGGACAGCAAAGGGACAGAACCAAGTGTCCCCTTTACAGGTTTCTGTATTAAAGAGGTAGGGAATGTATGATTTTTGGCATTTCTGGGACCAAAGGAACTGTCCATAATAGAGAGGTGTCCGTAAGGAGAGGAAAGACTTTCTAACATATAAAAGAGATTCAAACAGATTTTGGTGATAGCCCTTACGCATGTTTATGTCAGATGAGTAAATTTCACCACCAAGTCTTGCTTTCAAAATATAAAGATGCAAAACGTTACATGAATGAATTCCCAAAGCAGTACAGCTGAAAAGGATACCCACGCACAAGGGAGTGAAAATGCGATGGGGCTTGGTGGTGAAATTTGCTCGTCTGATGTAATCATGCATAAGGACCATTATTGCACCACGTAACAGAGTCCTGAATGTTGTGGGGAATTTTCTCATTAAATCCACCATAAATAGTAAAAAGCTACATAATTTTATAAATATTCTGTAATCGCTAAAAGTGTCTGAGTACAAAAATACATATCTACAAAGCAGATTTACAAGTACGTACACATGAGTGCCATGGAAAAGGCTAAACAAGGACTACAGTTCCTATCTTTGCTGTGTAACAGCTGACACTAACATTCAAAGTATGCTTTCTTTCTCCATGCGGAAAAAATTAATTAATAATTAAGTTAAGTTACATATTGACATTAAATGACTGGTCCAAGGTTTGCAATTCTAAAAGTAATCATAAAAAAGGTGGGTTGAAAATCTGTTCCCATGAGCACAATCTTTGAAAGGAACAGCCAATGTGCAAAGGAACAAAAGCAATCATTGCAAATTAATAATTTGGATGACAAAATCTTTTGTTTGATATAGACACAAAAAATTAATGTTAGTCCATATGTTGTTTTAGTGTATTTCTGTAAACCTCAACAGACATACACAGTAAATGAACTTCAAACTTCTTCTTTAATAACAACATGTCTTAGAATTGCAACCATTGAAACCTGCCTTATAGGGTTTCCTAAAGTATTTGACTTATTTACACTTAACTATAACAAAGGCTTGCGATCATCAGTACTTCTTAGAGAAGATTGTGACCCTGAAGTGCTATGTTGTTCAGTTGCAGAACTGTCCCCAATTAATGCTGTTGAGCTGTCATATCCATCTGCAGCTCTCTGATGACGTAAGCTCGAGCCTCCTGCACTTCTAGGCCGTCTGCTATTATCTTCAAAATTCACCTGGCCAGGGATGGAGGTAGATGAACCATCTGAAGCTAAAAAAAAAAAAGAAAATTAACAAAATCAGAAAAACGTTATTTTTTGTCTGCTAGCAAATGATTAGCTCCAGAGGTGATTTCTATTTAGAAATTGAGGATGACAAGTGGTCTGGATTGGGAAAATAAAACTTACAAGCTAAAGCTAAAAAGGTCTATAGCACAGTTGATCTTTTTGACAGCTTGAACCTTACAATAACAAATATTGAGCTGACTGTTCGAGAGGCAGTATTCTTTACCTTCAGGCGATGGCCCTTCCTTTATCAGCGGCATGGAAGTAACAGATATCTTTTTCCTTCGGGTAGTCCGTTGTCCCTCTTCCCAGTCCTCCACTTCATCCAGAAGTTTCTCTACACTGTCTGGCCGTGATCCTATTGACACCCCTGTCCCAGGTCGACTCCCTGAACTTGATGTGGTTTTCATCATATCAAATGAAGGGTGAGGCCCAGCCATGTCAACCATACTGTCCCAATCAAACCTGATTGAGCTGCCATAGAGGCTTGAGGGAGTTTTGAGATTCTCTTCAGCCTCTTTGAGTGCCGTATAAACTTTCTTTTCTACATCTTTCTTCACCTTGTCCATGCGTCCATTCACGAATGTTCCTAAGACATACATTTTCAAAAGCATGCGCTTCTTCATTGGGTCTACCAGGATGAAGTCACATTCACGCTGATCAAGCCTCTTTCTCATCTGGGGCATAAGTGTCATGAACTCCTTGGCTGTTTGTCGGACTGACTTCTTCACAGATAGTGTAAACAGCGAATGTGGTGCCAAAGTTCTGTGGGCTTCGATGAGTTCATCAAGAAGATCCCATAGAGAATCAAATGTTGGATCATCAAGGTATTCTGCTTCTCGGCAGTAAGCATTAATGATATGTATTTGCCTTTCCAGTTCATGAACTGGAGCAAAGATTGGAGGACTTGACAGCGCTTTCTCCAAGGTGTGACGACCTTTTAGGACAGCTCGCATGTATTTTCTGGTTTCTTCACTGATATTGCTTTTTCCGTCAGTTGTTAGAGTTGGCCAAAGTGGTCGCTTTGGGAACAGAAAACCAGAGTGTCGCCCCATGAGATAGAGAAACCAAAGGAATACACCAATGGCCCAAGATACATTGACCCAGGTTAGAATGGTTTCTGGAATTGGTGGAGCATATATAGCATTCTGCAACACATTTGTGTTAAACATCTCAACTAACGTGACCAAATAAGCATTGCCAATATTGACAATCAAGCAAAACAAAATCATAAAATTGAAGCTTGTGACCCGGAATGGGGGACTTTTGACCATTATTAAACAAAGCAGAGAGAGTAACGCTCCAATTCCACCACCCAAATGATCAATGAAACACACACCAATGACCAGTAAAACCAGGAAGACTTTTGCAATTACCCACGTTGGAGTGATATTGAAGACAATGTGTAGCAAGCGTGAGATACCCTTCCAGCAACACCACCTTGAAAATGACTTGAAGGCCTTAATAGGTGGACGGGCCAGGCCTGATGAAAATAACATGAACAAGACCAGGAAAAAGAATGATAAGATTGGTACATTGATGAGGAGTTTCTGCGTCAGGCTGAGTCGCACTGGATTGTTCTCACTAAAGTGAAGAAGGGTTGCAAAGTAAGACACCAGGCAGAAATGCAGTACCATCATGATTGGGCGGTAATAAATCCAGAGTCGGCGGTATGATGAAAACAGATGGAACTGCCCCACTGCCCATAGAATGTCAAGACCTTGATTGTATTCAGCTTCTTTGAGCTGTAAATAGCCCTCATGTTTTTCTTGACTGTAACAAATCACCTGACCTCGAATCTTTCTGATCATATTAATGGGATACGCCAAAAACAGGAGAATTCCAACAACTAGAGCAATTCCAACAAAAATCCAGTGTTCAAGGTTGGTAAAGCACTTCAAATTATTTTGCACGTTCCATACAGCGTCACTTCGGCAGTGGAAGACCCTTGCATAGGCCGTGCCAACTGGAAGACAGACTAGCTGGATAAAAATACTAAAAATCCGCTTCATTCTCGCCACGTGAAGTAGCAAGTACAACGGTTTTCTGTAGAGGAAAACGGCATAAGTTATCAAAAATCCACAGCCGATAACAGCGATGCAAACTGTCCACAAAATCAGGTATAAGCTGTAATCAATGCCGATGTCATCAGAAGCGATGAACGTGTCAAGGTTTATGGGCCCCATGTAAGCTCCAGAGACCATCACTTTTACAAACTCCCAAACGTCTAGATTGAAAAGGAACGTGAACGAAGCATATCTCACAAAGTCTCTCGGCAAACCCCAGCGTTCGCCCATGGCTAGGATAAGCGCAAAGATCTGTATGTGTTGAATTACCATGATCACAGCATCAGAGACCCACAGCGTGATTCCATGATGAACGAAAACCTCTTCGCTTTCTTCGTCTTCTTCATCAAGATCTACAACAACTTTCTCGGATTTTTCGATCAACGGAAGCTGATCCACGTCTTTTCCCTTTAGATTCCTATCCAAGAGAGCCATTTTGAGCAAAACAAAGGTCTTTTTGGATGTTTTCCGCGAAAGAATGCCTTCTAAGAGATTTTAGAATGCATGACTTTCGTCATTAGTGTGCGTTACTATGGGTTTTATTTGGGTAAATTTACCAAATATGGTAGTAAGTGACGTATTATCCTCGCTTTCATGGGCCAATTTTTACCCCCTTGTATCCCCCGCTATGTTTTGAAATTGTCAACATCATGGCATTAAAATTTGCTGCCAATTTATCGTTTGCCTTTCAGGAGCATGAAAATTTTCTGCAGAGATATCAGGCGGCGAAAAATGCAGGTAATGTTAATGGCTGCGTGAACTTAAAGAAGATAGATACTAGAAAAAAGTTAAAGAGCGAAAAGGCTCGTTAAATTCTTATGCAAGTTAAAATCCCTTTGTGTGATGGAATTTTAGATGTTAGCTTACCTCATCTCTTTAAAATAGTTTTTATTTTTCTCATCAACTCTGATGTCTTTGAGGGCAAAATTTAACAATAATAATAATCATAATGTCTTAAATTTCATTTTCCTCTGTGCCAAACCATTATTGTTCATCTTTATCAAGGATAAAATTGAACCATAGCATATATTATAAAAATTAATTTTTATTATATAAACACCAATGAAATACCAGGTGAGCTTTCGCGCGAAAACTCGATATCTTCACATGTTAAAATAACATGTTATCTTCACATGTGAAAATATCGCCTTTGCTATGGCTACATAATAAATCGCGCCTTTCACACCAAAAAACTATTTAAGTGAAATGGTTTGGTATTTCATTGGTATTTTTTTCATAAATAGAACATTAAATGGCCACTTGGAGAAACGAAATTTCTCTTCTCATGTTGAAAAAATATTTTACTCGTTCGCTGCACTCACTCGTGAAATATTTTTCAACACTCGAAGAGAAATTTCGTATCTCCATGCGGTCATGTAATATCCACTATATATTATTATTTTATATGTCACAGGTTTTAAAGGTGTGGAGTCAGGTTTTCCCTTGGACATCCCAATAGATGAATTGTGCATTGCTCGAGAGAGTGCACAAATAGAACATGTGCATATGAATGCTTTTGATGGTAAGTTCTGGGGTGCTGGACCTCCCCTGGGGGGGAGGTACTGAAGGAATGTTTGGGTATGGAGAAGCAGCTTGGACCCTGAAACCCTTAGTAAGCTCTAAGGGGACCTTTCCTAAAACAAAGACAGGGCTGAGCTGGACTATTGCTTCGGTGATAGGGCAACACAATTATTCATGAGTTATGCATCTCATTTTTTCATAGCACAATTTTTACACTCTCCTCCTTCCTTATATTTAGTCCTATAATACAAGCTTTCAGCTTTCTGAAAGTGTCTTTTTCCACCCAAAGGTAATTCTAAAGGACTAGCAGCAGTACCAGGTAGAGAAGAAGAATTCAAACAATGTTTAGAATTGTCTATAAAATATGCAGAAGCCCTTAAATGTACAAGGTAATTTATAATAATTATGATTTTGTTAAATCAGTTTTACTGATATACAGGAAAAAAGCTGTGTATAAAACTTTTTTTCCTTTTTAAATTAGCCAAAAAAGGTTATAAAATAAGATATAAGCTAATTAGCTTCAAGCTACAAATTGAAAGGGTGTGTGGAATAAAGGTCCCAGGTGGGCTCTTATGAACTGCCAAATTCTCCTTAACTTCCAGACACACTGCTTGTAGTCTTTAATTCAGTACTCTTGCATTTTTAGAAACATATAAATATCCAATAATTTTGGCATAAGATAAGTCAGCTGATTTTTTGGATTTCACACAACGTTACCCCGTGACATCTAAAACACGGCTGCGAGGAAGACTAGTCACGTGGTGACCCTGAGCTACAAGGGGGCTATTCCTGAAATTTTTACTGTCTATCATAATTTTTAGACTGCACGTGTTAGCTGGTGTGTTGACTGGTGGTATCACTAGCAAAGATAACAAGGTTGTGACACTGTGGGAGGAGACCTACATCAAGAACATGAAATATGCTGCACAAAGACTCCAAGAGGTAATAATAGTAAACACTGGCTGATAGTTTATCAAAATCAGGGCCTCTGTGCACTAGCAGTGCCTGCAGTGGGTGCCTCCAGTTGCTAACTTTAATTTTGCTGGGAAAACTAACTTTTTGGCAGATTAAGACATTAAAACTGCAGGGTGCCTAGAATTTTAGCATTGCAACGCTTTGTTAGGTACCCCGTAATTCTTCTAAGAGCACAATCTTGAACATGGTTAACAGTTGAATTCATTATTCAGATAATTTTAATTTTTTTACAGTGGTACTTATGGTTCACAACTTTGAAATTCTGGGTTCCCATTGGTCAGTTGAGTTGAGACCTAAATATATTAACACATTAATTTTATCACATTGTTTGGAGGTGAGGACTTCCCTGTAAGCACACCTATAAAAGTGGTTGTATTTTTAATTTGTTTCAGTCTGGGATAACTCTTTTAGCAGAACCTATTAGCACTATTCCAGGATACTTTTTGACTAACACACAACAAGGTATAACTTTTAACTGTTAATTTTTATTGACATTCTTTGAAATGGCAATGCTCTGTTGGTTTTCCTCTGCATTTTTTTATTATAACTCTTAAAAAAAATTTGCTTAATTGTCGTATTCTAATATTATTTTGTTATTCCCATAATTTCTCTCCCTTCAAGAGTGATAACAGTTCTTATAGGGCAAAATATATATGGAAGAGTAATTTAATGATCTGTCATTAACACTCATGTTTATTTGCCTATTTCAATATTATTACAACATGGCCATGCATACAGTCAATAACTTAATATATGTTTCTTTGCTCTCCTTTTTACTTTACCCTGCAAGTAGAGGCTACGTTTTCGCGAGAATGTGGCCTCTGCTCGCAGGGTACTTTAACTTCTTCCCCCAATAACTTTTTGGTGTCTCAAGTTTAGCTTTCACGTTGCAGGTGATTACAATTAGTAGGTAGAGAATAAAAAGCAAGGACTTTATGCTCATAGCAGCTGGGAAAATCTCCTTTAGTATTAGTGGCAGAACTGCATGTGGTCCAGGTTACACTTCACCTGGACCTTATCACAAAGGAGAAGTTGTTTTGGCATTAAAAATTTCATTATTTTCATTTTCATTTTCTCTATCACCAGCAATTAATTTCATAAAAAAGGTGGATCATAGTAACATGAAACTTCAGTTGGTAAGTTAAAAAACAACAAGAACAATATTTTTCAGTTTACAAGCAATGCTGTATTTCTCACCAATTTAATAAATATGACTTACATCAAGTTGAATTAATTTAAAGTTTGACTTGACTAAATTTATGGGCTCTTAAGGCAAAATGTCAAGGAAATATATACTTTGTTAAATCAATAGTTTTTATGAGGTGTGGAGGTGAGCTGCACAGGGACGTATTATTATAACTCACCCAACCTGGTTTTCTTGAAGGGTTATTTGTTATTTTTTTTATATAGGACATGTTTCACCATCAACGGACAAGCGGAAACTTGACCCAAACCCTGATTGACGCTATGCCATATATTGGTAATGTTATTGTAGAAATACTACTATTTGCCTTTACACCACAGCTGAAACTAAACTTCTACTAGTTAAGTATATATATTGGTAATGTTATTGTAGAAATACTACTATTTGCCTTTACACCACAGCTGAAACTAAACTTCTACTAGTTAAGTCCTTCTGTTAGCTTAACCAGTGCTGAAATCCTTGTTCTGGTCCCCAGCTGTGTACCAGGATTTGAGTATGCACCGTGCTTGGTTTGTCTAAAAAAAGCATTGTTTGATTGGGCGACAAAGTTGGAGGAACATTCTGAGAGGGACTTCCAGTAATTTGTCAAGTCCATTGGGAACCTAGAGCAAGGATCTTGGTGCTGCTTTGCTGGCATTACTAACATGGGTTAGATAACGTCTGCAGGCTACATTACTATAAAAAAAATTTACGGTTAATATTAAAATGTGCTGGATAATGATCACTGCTTTAATTTTTAAATTTTACTTTTAAAAAAGGAAGTTCTTTTTTGGACCTTTAGAAACATGTTTAATTTGTTTTCTTTCAGGACATATTCAAATAAGCCAAGTCCCATCTCGTAATGAACCAGATTCTGATGGTGAAATAAACTACCCCTACATATTCCATCAGATCGCAAAATTAGGCTACAAAGGTTGGATAGGCTGCGAATATCATCCAAGAGGTAAATTGCTCATTAGTTAATTTGAGATGAAATTTTAAGGGTACTTTTGTAATTATTGTAATCTCTGTGGGTATATATGTACATAGTAAAAACTATCCACAAAAAAATCTACGAGAATCTCGTTCTGGTGGTTATATTATTTTATTTTCCATTACTTTTTTTCTTAAACAACAAATTACATGTTTTCCTCACTGAGCAAGTTTATAATTTTGTCCAAATTTGCATCACGGGTGGAACCTGCATGGATTGCACAGCAAGCCTGAAACACAAGTCGGTTTTATATATATTTATTTAGTAAAATCCAACTAGTGGTCTATTATCAATGCTATGTTCTGACTGATTGAGCTACTACTAGGCTATATGTTATAGCCCCCTAGTAGCGAAAAGCGCGGGCTTTTTGGCGGCAAAAAGGGGTTAAAGTCTAGCTTTAACATTTCTTTAACATTTAGGACAAAATAATGATCATTAGTTTGAGTTGTGGGTACCAGTCGGTATTTATCTTTCCTAGTTTTGTTTTTGTGATGATAAATTTATTTTTTGTTGTTGTTGTCTTAGGACGGACTCTTGATGGTTTAGGATGGCTGGCACCTTATCTTATTGATTAAGAAATTGTTCCAGTGCACCCTTGTGTGTCCTTATTTTATGCAAATCTCATCTTCTGTCAAGTTGAAGACTACACCGTCTGGACTGGAACGAAGTATCAATATTCAGCCATTGAGGATAGGTGAAACCTTCTGCAATAGTAGCTTGCTGAAGGAAGGTTGAGAAATTTTAACAAATTTATAAAACTTTGAGTACACTAAAACCAGTGTACAACAATTTATTATAAAGGACCCTGGGTACCGGAGGTTTTTTCTCCTTTTCGCATGGTTCACTATAAAGAGTTGAATGAAAACCAACAAATGAAAAGTTTCTGGCTTCCCAGGTATGGATTGGCCCTCATCTTTTAACCAAACCAAATTCTCCTTGGAACACCTGCCACATACATGTAAGCTATCAAAAAGCTCTCGTAGTGTCAGAAAAAAAAAAATTAGGTACACTACATAAATTAACAAATGGATTATATTATGCCTACTGGATATATGAAGCATGATTTATATTATAGAAAAGTCATATAAATAGTGTTCAAGTTTATTATAATAACTGTGGATGAGATCATGGCCATATTTATTTTATTCTCTTCTAAATGGCAGAAGATTTGTCTCATCCAAAAATGAGAATTATTTATTATAAGAGCCTAAATAGCCTACATCATTGGGATGAGACCATTTGAGGCTTAGGTGGAAAAATGTAAGTGCTTTTAATTATGCTGGATTTTTACTGTAGTGTATGTTTTAGGAAGGTATCTGTGTCATAGACTTGTTAGCCAGCATCACAGACATCATTTAACCCTGGTTAGTAACATCTGCAAAGCAGCACTGACATCCTTGTTGTGGGCCCCTGACAGACTCAACAAATTACCGGAAGTGCATTTCGAATTTCCTGTCATCCTAACTGAAGGCCCAGAACAAAGATTTCGGCACTGTTTCGCAGATGGACTTAACCAGAGTTAAGTTTTGTCTGTGGCACAGGCTATAGAGTCATCTGCCAAGAAAGAGTTGACCGAATGAATAGAAAATAAAATTATCTGGATGACACTGCATCTGTAAGGTATTATGGTCAAGTCTAAATTAGGCAGTACATCACTGAAAAGTTTTGCACAATTAGTACCTTTAGGCACAGTTATATTGTTATTGTAGTTATATCTCAAGGGGGTACTCCGGATTTTAAGTGACGGGGATGTTTGAGGGATTTTTTTGGGTTTGCAATTTTCGATTCAGGGATTTTTTGGGGAAGAAAAATTTGGCAAGTGTTTTATTAGGTGGCTTGATTTAAGTAGGGTTTTTTGGGGGTGTTCATTTAAGAATCTGAACATTAGTAATAGTGCCCACATATCCTGGCCGCATAGTTCTGCAAATAAAGTACAACCAAGTAAAGTACAAGGTGTAGGTATTATTATTAATGCTTCCTGGAAATTTTTAAGGCTCAGAAATTCGCCATGGGATTTTTTTGTGGTTAAGTTTTGGTCCAGGGATTTTTTTCAGTTCTGTTGGAAGCCCTAGGGAGTTTTTTGGGTTTCCATTTTTGCCCCCATTCAATCATCCCTGTCACTTGAAATCCAGAGTACCCCCCTGGGGTTATATTGTTTTTGTTTGTTTTTATTTTTCAATTTACCAGAATCTGAGAATTGAATTATATGTGTCTACCAAAAAATTATGAACAAAGTTAGTCAATAATGGGTTGTTTTTATTTTTCAATTTACCCAAATCTATGAATTATTGAAATTATAGGTGACCAAACAATATCATGAACAAAGTGGATCACTAATGTGAAAAAAAAAAAAGTCACACAATGTTGTTGCTGCTGTACTTGTTCAATGCAAGGTAAATTACAGTCACATGCAATGGTTTGAGGACCATCTATTATTAATAAGTTATCCCATTTAAGAGTAAAATATTATGTTTATTTAAGAAATAAATAGTGTCTTCAGAGCAGATGTGTTTAATAGAGCGGTTTTCATTTGAGTGTCGAAAAGTAATTGGTTTTGCACTTTCTACACGATGCGATTGGCTTAAAAGATTCGCGCCACCTTTTCATCCAATCAGAAGTAAAACCAAAGCCAATTGTGATGCGCTCGCATGCATTTTCCCGCGCTTTGCGTCAGCCACATGTAATTACTTTGAGTTTTGATTGGTTCAATGTATTGTCTGTGTCCTATGTGATTGGCCAGAGTAATTACTTTGGTTTTGGTTTTACGACACTCAAACGAAAACCACTCTAACAGGCTTTTACTGTCAAGCCTTGTTTAAAAGCTAAAAACTGTACAAAATCTTATTTTTGGGCTGTTTCAAGTATGATAATTCTTATAATAAGGAATATTGTTTGTCTCGCAATGTTCCAGATTTTAATCAAAATTAACACAAAATAATAATACAATCTACTTATTATTATGTCTGTCATGATAAAAATTACTCCAACATTTCTCTAATAAAGTTATGCATTATACTTGCATGTATGCTAAAGACGTTAAAGTCATCAAGACGCATTTAACGTCTGAGACTTCAAAGTCGACTGGTGTAAAAAGAGATTTTTCTTAAAAAAGGCAAAGTACTTACTCTTCCCAGTCATTTCTGGATGAGTTGGGCATAAATGCATCCCAGTTTGCTAGACGCATTTAATGTCTGAGACTTAAAAGTCGTTGTTAAGTGCATCTGAACGATGCACTGAGAAGAAGTGAAAGTTGTCAGATGTTAAATGCGTCTGTCTTACCATTTTTAAACTATACATTAAAGTTGTCTTAGGACAACTTTAACGTCTCAGACGAGTTTAATGTCTCTAGCGTAAAAGCAGCCATAAGCAAAATAGCAGCAAATAATCATGACAGATGCAAAGCTTTCCATCATGATTATAATAAAATGGTTTTAAATTTGACAGTAATATTATATGAATGAGCCAAAACAAGAGTAATAAAGAAGGGAGCTCTAGCTGCCACATTCTTTTTAGCAGTGAAAATTTCACCACCAAAAGTAAATTTACATTCTTAAATAATTGCATGCCCATTGAAATATGCCAAGGTTTTCTGGGGTTGAATTTTTAGGAACTACATCAAAGTTCAGAACTTGGAGAAAGAAAAAATTTTTTGGCGTGTGTTCAAGTTCTCCACAACAGTTTGCTAAGGAGATTTCATGTAGAGCTATGAAGAGGACAGCAAATAAATGTATCAACAAATGATGGACAAGAAGAGTAGTGATGTTTTGCTTAATGCATTATCATCTTGCCATGACCATCACAGTTCTTTAAACTCACTAAAAATGTCACACAAAAAAGACCATCTAACCATTTTAAACCCTGCTTCTGTCAGTGGAATTGACCACCTAAGAGTATTACCACCTCCCTCGGCCAGAATACAGGTCCATCTTAGGGCTATTCACAGCAACACAACAATACTTTGCCAATACCCAATAATTCATGTCTGGATAGAGAGAGGTGGTTTTGTGCAAAGTTTGTTGTCTACAAAAACTATGCCATGAATGGTCAAGGCTCTTATGATCTGAAATTTTACATTGCACTAATCAACATCACTCAAAAAACACAGACGGTGGCAGATGGTAATTTTGTAGACTGCAAAACAGTCCGTATTTTCCTCGCGCACTTCGTGCATGTAAGACTCTTTCTCCACTCTTTACTGATTTCTTTACTGATTTTGAGAAAAATCCCGAATGTTTTGCAGTCTAGTAATTTTGGGACTTTTAAAGTTTGAGAACTTTTTTTTTTTGACACACCAATTCTCAAAAATGTCCTTCCAGACAGCTTAATTAGGGTACAAACAACTCTCCAACACACAAGAAACCTATGAATGATGAGCCACTAAGTGAACTGAATATTGCCTGAAATCTTATGGTACTTGTATTTTAGAAAGATCAATTTTCACCCAACTCGCAAATGTACATGAATGAGCTGGTATCAGTCCCTCAACCATTAAACAGTGCAGACTGTAGTTAGGAGGAGTGCCTTCTCACTGCCATGCCTGTCGGAGCATTTTAATTGATGCTAGTCTCTGAGAGACAATAGTTACAAGGACTAAGATTCCAAGTGTACCAAGAATGAACCAGTAATCAAAATCGTCTTTGAGTACGTCAAACATCTTAGATGGTGTGACCCTGGTCCAGTAAAGATCCAACCCATGCGCAAATACTAGACATGTTGATTCCAGGCCTGATCCCGCAGTGTAGATACCATCAATGTTGGCAACTGACAGTAAGAAGCAATAGAACAAAAATACACCATTATTCAGATATTCAATATATGGTTAAGAAAAAAAACGTAATCACACATTCTGGTCTAAACAGGGTCAAAAGTCTTTTAGCAGGCAAGTTGTACATCAACTTCTTAATATTCCCACCTCCTGCAGTATGTACATGCGGGGAATTAATGGATGTACAAAAAATGTGCAACTTTAATGTTTTATGTACCAGTTTGGTTGTAGTTAATGAATGCCAAGGGATTTAGCATCAGTTCTGGAATATATGGATGGAGTCCTTCTTCACGGTCTTCTGCTGTCGACACAAATTTTCTGCGTGGGTCCAGGTAGTTTTTAGGCAGACTGAGAATGTAACCAGTTTGTAAACCGAACAGCAGGTTCTTGTGGGTAATGCCTCTTTCTGTTATGGTGACTGACGCAGTACGGATAGTCGTGGGAAAGATGTAGGACTGTTGTAAGACTAAAGGCATGGGTGGAGGTTCAAATGATGACAAGGCAGAGCTGAAATGAGAATGACAAGTTGATAATAGTTAGGATGTTATGTGATAACTAAATTTTCTCAGGCAGGTATTAGGACAGCGTTCCAGATAACAGACGGGTCTCGGGTCAATGACAAAGAAAGCTTCCTAACCTGACAGATGACATATAAGTGTTAAGGTAAAAAAGCAAAAATAGACAAAAATAGCATGTGGTCTTGGCAACCCCTCAGATGGTCTACAAGACCCCCTGCTTGAAAGAATTAACTGGAACGCTATTTTAGGATATTTACAGCTCCCTCTTTTATTAGTAAAAGTAAAAGTAAAAGTTGACTCCTCAAGTCTTTCTAAAGCAATGTCCTACACAGCAATACTTAAGGGGACATGGGGGAGGTAGTGTTATGAGCAGTTTTAGATGATGTAGGTGGTCTGGCTGGGCCTTTTGCTTGATCAGCTCATCCAGCTGAGCTAAACAGACAGCATTTATAAGCTTTTTTGAGAGAAAAACAACATCCATGGGCTAGGAACATTCAGGATTTAACAATGTTTTTATAGGACACCTTCTGGATTGTAAGAAGACAAAATGGGGAGCATGGGTGGCTTATAATGACAGCACTTGCCTCCGACCAATGTGGCTGGGGTTCGAATTTATTGCGGCACCAACACTTCCTGTATGTAATCCCAATTGGACCAGAAATCAGGAAGACAAAGAACCATTAAGTGGATGTGCCACCTCTAAATCATTATTGAATTATTGTTTTGTTTAGAATGGCTGCTGTGTATTAAAATTATGTGAGTATATCAACCAAAATTGTACCTGTTTCTTTCTGTATAACCATCATACAGTTCTAAAACCGTGAGTTCATATCGACGAGACTTGGTGTTGTACAAACAGTAAACAAGCCAGTTCTCAGAGTGCACCATGTGAAAAGGTCCTTTGGCATTCTTATGACGTGTATGGAATATGACCAACCCTGACGAAAATAAAAATAACAATAATAACAATAATAGAANTAGGAACATTCAGGATTTAACAATGTTTTTATAGGACACCTTCTGGATTGTAAGAAGACAAAATGGGGAGCATGGGTGGCTTATAATGACAGCACTTGCCTCCGACCAATGTGGCTGGGGTTCGAATTTATTGCGGCACCAACACTTCCTGTATGTAATCCCAATTGGACCAGAAATCAGGAAGACAAAGAACCATTAAGTGGATGTGCCACCTCTAAATCATTATTGAATTATTGTTTTGTTTAGAATGGCTGCTGTGTATTAAAATTATGTGAGTATATCAACCAAAATTGTACCTGTTTCTTTCTGTATAACCATCATACAGTTCTAAAACCGTGAGTTCATATCGACGAGACTTGGTGTTGTACAAACAGTAAACAAGCCAGTTCTCAGAGTGCACCATGTGAAAAGGTCCTTTGGCATTCTTATGACGTGTATGGAATATGACCAACCCTGACGAAAATAAAAATAACAATAATAACAATAATAGAAGATCAGCAAGCTTGTTCTCCACAACACTGTTTTCAATAAATTTCTTTAAAAAAATACTGATAAGGAAAATTTGCTCAAAAATTAAGATATATCTTCACTGTTAAGACCCTCACTGTTTGGATTAACTAGGCTGGCTCACTTCATATAACCAGTTCTTTAGTCAACCATGTTGTACTGAAAGTTACTGTTTAGGGTATCACTCCTCATCAGTAGGTGAGAATACCTTTTTAATACTGATAAAAAAAACAAACCTGTCACTGCATCCACGAGGTAGATTGATATGCCAGGTTTTGTATCAGGGGTTACTTCAGTTGCTACAGCTACCAGGTTTGGGTTCAGGTATTTATAAAGAACTCTTCTATCTCCAAGAACTTTTCCTTGTGAATGTACATGTTCCAGTGGGTTCTTAGTTGCTAGAAAATAAGAGTACCTGGTAAGATGCATCAGAGAAGAAGTAAACTATGGATGCACTTTTCCTTATTAAGAATAATATTAAAAATATGAATTTTTATTGTGAATGTTATAATTCTTGGCACAGGGCCCTATCATGCAGGTGTGATGAGGTTCTTGTGCAACTGAAAGTATTGGGATAAGGGTTGGGTTTCAAGCTGCAGGACCTTTAGTCACACATCATCCTTAGCTGTTGTTTGTCGGGAGTAAGGTCACAGCAATCAATCCAGCATTAACTTCTCTACCAGTAGGTGGATAGTGACTGAGTTCCAACCCCTTCAATGACATTCAATGTTCAATTTTATCAAATGAATGAGAGAAGATATTTTACAGGTAGCTCCACGACCAGGCAAGCTGAGGTGAATCCTAAGTTTTTGTCTCAATCCACAAAAATGCAAAAGTTAAAAATGACTTGGCCTATATCCAGCCATCTCGACCTCACGCCTGGTCAATGACTCCTATGTATTTGAAAACTTGCTAACTGGCTGTCCTCTTGTTACCTATACTACTGATGGTCTGTGATGAGCGAGGAATGTTCACATTCCACATCTCTCTGACATGAAATCCACTTTTCCCAGCATCAGACAATAGCATGTAGCCTCTTATGTCACCCTTCTCTTTATCGGCCAGGAAAAAGAAAATTGATGATGCTGCCTTGGATACAATTTCTTTCGCTTCAGCCGTGCGAGGAAACACGTGAACATTCAGGGATGAATCAAGAAGAAGAAGCAGCTTTGTGTGCTTGGCATCTGTAAAGTAATGTAATATTGGATACATGGTTCACCAAAGCAGTCTCAGAACACATTAATTAACAACACATGAAAGAAATTATTTTTATTCACCATCAAAATTGCTATTTTGTGGGATTATCAAGTAGTTAAATTGTTAGTTGATATCTGGTCAGTTTTTTTAAAGTAGTCTGTAGCTCACATATTTAATCCATAATTTGACCCTTTCACTTTCAGAGTGAAAGATAGAGTCTTTTAGAGTTGGTTCTTGCTTTTGAGTCTGTAGTCAAAATCCTGCAGTGTTAAACCATTCACAAGAAACCTTCTTGGAGGCAGTTTCTTGTGGTACTATTAATATTGTTTTTCAGCCTCTTAGAAGATAAAATTTCATAACTATGTCTAATTTTGACTTTGGCCACTCCTTGAAGTGAAAACAAAAAGGCAACTTGTTAAGTGATGAAAGGCCTTCCTTCAGATCATGTTACAAAACCTGTCTCCAGTAAAATTGAAAACTGATCCCTAAATTAGAAGCCACTTCTAAGATTTCAATTTTCATTTAAAAATGCTACAAAATTTTAAACACCACCATTTGGGCTCTGCACAATAATTTCAACAATATGGAGAATCCCTCCCCTTCCCCACCCCCCGATAAAAGGAGACTATGTATACCTACCCGTATGGGGTAAAAGCATGGACTGTATCACTCTGTACGACAACTGATTTCCTTTTGGATGGCCAGGTCCAATGGGTTTTCCGGTTATCGGGTTGAAGACATGCAATAANTCAATTTTCATTTAAAAATGCTACAAAATTTTAAACACCACCATTTGGGCTCTGCACAATAATTTCAACAATATGGAGAATCCCTCCCCTTCCCCACCCCCCGATAAAAGGAGACTATGTATACCTACCCGTATGGGGTAAAAGCATGGACTGTATCACTCTGTACGACAACTGATTTCCTTTTGGATGGCCAGGTCCAATGGGTTTTCCAGTTATCGGGTTGAAGACATGCAATAACGATCCTTCAGCTGAACGTGATTTTCCCAGTACAACACACTGAGCTGTCAATGGAAAGTGAGCGACAGTTCGCTGAGTATAAAGTAATGAGTACTGCTTGTTGTTCTGAGTAAAAGGAGCAAGATCAGGAAGAAAATATTTCCATATTATGCTTCCATCTGCAGAATCCAGACCAAAGAGTTTTCCAGATGATGTAACGATCAAAATCATTTTTCGCAAATTAAACTGGTCTCTGGTCAGTTGTTCTTCTGTATCTTCTGCTGACTCGGCAAAGATGCCATGCTCTTGTTGGGCCTTGAGGAAGGCTTGAAATTGCTTGATGAGAACTTGGAACTGTTTTACCTGGGCACGGATGCGGCGAATGAACATGGACAGAACATCATCTGTATAACAACACAATATTGTTAAAAAATAGTTAATGCGTAGTGAAGTCTCTGTTTTAAGCTCCACATCCATGGAAACAGAGTAAAGCACCCGAAAAGTCATGGTACAGAGAGGCTTTACTGGGTCAACCCTTTCAGAAATGATTTCTTTTCTCACCAGAGAGACTGACTTGTTGTTGAACTTTGCTGTTTTGGAGAATAGCTCATTAATCCAATCAGAATTGAATTCTTGAATCAAAGAGTGTTTTGAATTTTCAAAATTTCAACTGAAGAATGTGATATTGACACTAAATGAATTCAACATTGAAATAATGAAGTTCAAATGTTATTCTTCATAAGAAAGCTTGACCAGCTTTAACTGAACATTTATTATGTAAATTTAGTAGTGGACAAGACCTTTTTGGGGCTGATCATACTTTCCTCATAAAAATTTATTTAGGCGAGGTAGGAGGTTGCTGGGTAACAAGCCTGGTTACTTTAAAGAAGTTTGTTTATCTTCCTTGATTAAAACAAATTATCTTGACCCACTATGTGCATGATAATAGGTAGCTTAAGCAACTAAGACGGCAACGGATGCAAAAACGTCACTTCAAAAATGAATTTGCACTGCCTCAAACTTTATGGCACTTATTCCACCTCGTACAATTTGTCAAATGTTGGCAAATTTTTCTGGAGTTGAATTGAGAAAATAAAAGGTTTTAAGGTTTGTTTATAGTGGAAAGAGCACTTAGCTTTTCCAGCTAGTTTACAGGCACTCCACTCAAATACTTAGAAAACAAATAAATTAAATACAACATAACAGAATTAAAGGACTGTGTCAAAGTACAGGGAAAGAAAAAGAAAGTCGTTGTCTTCTGCTCACGTCTTCGTCAAGACATGAAATTAGGCATTTGCACGTCATAGTCATGCAGTGACAGCAAAGAAATGCACAAATAAGCGTGATGCACGTGCAAAGTGGTTGTTTTGCTAATCCAAACCTATTGCCTTTTTGCCGTTCTCATTGTTGTCGCAGTCGTCGTTGCTTAAGCTTCTTTTTGTAAAAATACTATTGTAAGGAGAATTTACAGAGTGATCACTTACCATTGGGATGAACCCCAAATTCTTCCTGAAGGGTTTCAAAATTTTGCTGTGAAGGTGAAAATGGCAGCTCAACTACATCTACAGCTGTTATGTCTGCTAATGCTTCTTCCCGTGACCACATAATCCGTCCTGGAAATTGAATCAGGGACACAGCATGATCTGTTGTAGCTAATAAGACTCTGTAACCAAGCTCATTCTCTTTCTTACTGAATAAATACACAACTGCATTTTCTGGTTCTCCATGATCTGCTAGGACAACTTTTTGTGTCATGTCTGGGATAATTTTCCTGGTGTCTAAGTCAAAACATTGAAGCTCTACATTTGATGAATCAGCAATTGATGTTATAGATACTAAAACAGCCTTGCTGCCAAGTACAGATGCACTCAGTATGGTCGGATCGGAAAATTTTGTTACCAGTGTTAGGCTGTGATCAGTGTTCAAGTGCAAGATAAGATGATGACTTTTTGCCAGCTTTAAAAGAAACTCTGAACGGCCATCCCAGGAGTTTGAATAGGAGCCTAGCGATTCTAATGTGGGTTTGGTATTAGAGAGCTCATCAACCCCCAACCCTAACGATGCCAGAGATATAGTTTTTACTGGAGCTGACTCATCAAAGAGGGAAATCACATGAACACTGTTACTGAACGTCTCTGCACAAACCAGATTCAACTTCTTTACAAAAACACAGCTTGCGCCATTGCTGACCCAAGGAGCTCCTATGGTTTTTTCTCCTTTAACTTTTCCACTCTCTACATCTACCTTCTGAATAACGACGTTAATGTCATTTTGTACTCCTACAAGATGTAATAGTCCATTTGCATGTTGAAAACTGAAGTACTCCGCGGATTGATCACTGAGGTCTAAAGCCCACCTTTCTGAGCCATCTTGAAGTGTAAACCCTTTCAGAATGTTATGAGATAATGAAACCACAAGCTCATTGCCTTTGACATCGACCAGAGCAACATGTTGCCCGTTCCATCCGCTAAAAGGCGAATTACTTCTTTCTTTGCCAGGCGAAGAAGTTGTTTTACCCATCGACTCCCACAAAAGAGCTCCATTACTTGCATCCCAAGATCGGATAAATTTCCCCGAACTTGATGAGCTTACCAGTGTGTTATCGCGATAAAGGAGCGTTTCTAGCTTTCCTTCTTTCTCTTCCAACACTTGACGCCAAATAATACTCCCGGTTCTAGAATTTAGAGCTGCAATCACGTTAGATTCTGTGCCGACATACAGTCGCTTGCTACTGTGTGTGGAAACATCAAAAAACGAAAATTTCACTTTCCCTAGATAGCTAAGACGCCAATCGAAGAGTCCAACTTGATCTTGATAGAGTCCTAAGCATAGTGTCCAGTTTAGCAGGAAAAGAATAAAGCACATGCAGCAATTTGCAGCCGCCATCTTGAAAGCACCTGTAAAAGGCGCGGACACACGGCCAGCGCGGTCGCACAGCAATTTTGCGTGGCTACTTAGTCTTTAGGCCTGGCTACAAAGAACATGGTGGAAGAAGTCAAAATGGCGCGTGGTTTGAAGTTAACGCGAATTTAAATGTTGTTGGAGTTTTGTGACATATGTTGGTGTTTTGAAGATAATTATTAGGCAGTAAAAGGATATGGTGCCTTCAAATTTCACTGAGTCTCAGCGCACGGAAGTTTCTAAAGTAAAATGGTTTACCGATGGGGTAAGTTTTGTATCATAAGCTTATCATCTTTCGCGTACACGGATGTCTTTCAGAGTAGACGAGATTTTGAAATCGTGGCACATTCAGATCCACACAAGTGCAAGGATGTCTAGGAGTGTGAATTTCATATATTTTTTTTTCTTTATTTAGATCTGTACAATAGGTACTGTGGACTGAAGTCATCGACTCCCATGCAACTGTCCCCTATCCTCTTTCACTTTCACTTCTCCACCACCCCCCCCCCCCCCCCCCCCCCCCCCTCCCCCCACCCCACCACCCCCCCCCACCCCTTTACTTATTTCCCCCCCCAAAAAAAACCCCCACACCACAAAAACAACAACACACCAAACAAACCACTCCCTCAAACACTATTTACCCCTCAATGCCAACACCAACACCCCCCCCCCCCCCCCCCCCTCACCCTCAGCGCACAATTAACTAATTAAAATCGTGGCATATTCATATACACAAAAATGAAAGGATTTTTAGGTGTGTTAATTTCTTATTTTTTTTTTTTTTTATTTAAGTCTTTACAATAGGTACTGTGGACTGAAGTCATCCCCTCCCATTCAACTGTCCCCTTCCCCCTTTCCCTTTCCCTTCCCCCCCCCCCCCCCCCCCCCCCCCCACTTCTTTACACACTAAAAAGAGGCATCCTCTGATGTTCAGTTAATAAGGACCGCCACAAAAAATCTCTCCTTACATGAGAAGTGACCAACATCTATTAACCTCTTGTGCAGTACATAGTGCGGACTGAAATCTTGAACTCCCACCCACCCCCTCCTTGGCAACCTGTGATTGAGAGAGCATTATTGAGTATTTCCCTAATATTACCGTATTTACTCGAATAATTAAGTGCTGTGCGGTGCGGCGATTATGTGAAAGTTGCACATGGTAAAGAATTGTATTAACTAAAGTATTATTTTCTATATTAAAGTAAAACTAACAGAATTAACGTCCTTTGATTTTGATTGTATATGTATCAGGGTCACAGCGCTTATTCAGGGATGGCGCTTGTTAAATTTTTTCCCTCAAATGTGGTGCTTATTCGAATTTGGCGCTTAACCAATGGAGGTGCTTTTTCGAGTAAATACTGTAATTTTAGAGACTGGCAAATGTTATCAAGTGTTAAATCTTTATTTCTCAATTGCTTCAGGAATTCCGATGGAGAACAATTGCAGCTGTAGCATGGATGATGATTTTACTTCCAGTTACACTATTTGTATTTTCAGTAGCAGCTTCAGTTGATTTCTTTCACCCCATTGTCTGGATTACTGGTATTCACCTATTGTACATAGAACTTCTTTATGACCACCTAGTTAGTGTATCTAGTTTGTTTGGATAAAATTAATGTTAAGGCACGCCGACAAAGAAATAACACTTGAACTTAATTGCAGCGATCGAAGAAAGTGCCGACTGAGAGGGCACTTAGCATGATATATAAGATACAGTGCTAAATGAGGAAATACCATGTGGGGTAAACTGCTGTGATCTGCAGGCTCACAGGTTAATGCTTGCCAATATTGACTTTAATTTTATGCTAAAATATCATCAAAACCTTAGTCATTCTCTTAACCCTTGTACTGCCAGAGTTTGGAGCTATGCAGCATATTTCTAACTTTTAAGGTACCTATCATGTCTGGTTAGTTCAGTTGGTGAGGGACCAGAATGTTGATCAGGAGGATGTGACCTCAAGCCTGGCCAGACCACCAACCAGACTTTTTAGGTCACAGGGGCATAGCTGGTGTTTTTTCAAAGAGGGTTGGGGGATCTCATTTTCATGCCAACATCCATGCTGTGTTAATACTTTAAAAGACAGTTTTTAAGATAAGCAGTAACAGTGGGCCGTTGGAAATCCTTTGGTCGCAAGTTGCCTATGTTTAGAGTTAGACCTTGACTTAGTTCAAAATAATGATCTTGTCATATTTTGCGATGGTCTAAAACCACTGGCCTTGCCTTCTACGTACATCCTTACTGTAGTCTTCAATGAGAAAAGGATATTAAAAAGAACCCTTGGCATTAATCCAGTGGAGTCAGAGATGTACAGTGAAGACCTAGTCGTGTTTTCTACATCTTAAAAATAAAACTACCACATACATTTTGTCATTTTTTTACAGGTACTATACAAACCTAAGTTTCTTTTCCTTAAAAGGAGCCTTTATTTTTGCCTACAGATTCCATAACAGTGGTTTTCACTTTCTCTTTTTGGCTGTCTGTTTGTACTTATGGTGCTGTTAACATAATAATGCTGTTGTCTTTTGCTAAATTTAACACAGGTATGTGTATTAAGAATCCAAAATTTAGCTTTACCTAGGGACTATTTATGTACCCTTGTATTTAAAAAATTAGCCTACTACCAAAGCATTGTGCAACAAATGCAGACTTGCAGACCGCCAGATAAACAAGTTTTGAAAATGCTCTAAAATCTGCAGTCTGCACTTGTCGCACATCACTTTAAAATGGATATGTTGCACAGTTTAGTCTTATTCTTGGTTTTTTTTTATTCTTATTTGTTTTTCTGTATAGTAATATACATGTAATAATAATGATAGTAACGATGATGATTTAGAGGTAGCACATCCTCAAAGAAAGTGGTTCTTTGTCTACCATTCCTGGTTGAATTGGAATTTGAAAATGTTAGTTTATGAGGAGAGGGGAAAACTGTAGTACCCAGAGAAAAACCTCTCAGAGCAAGGGAGAACTCAACCCACATATAACGTCAATGCCGGGATTTGAACTTGGGCCATCTTGGTGTTAGGCAAGTGCTCTCACCACCACATTACCCTTGCTCCCCAACATGTATAAATTATATAAGGAAAACCAAAAAAAACTTTTATTAAAATATTTGAACAACAACAATGTGCACACCTATGTTTAATTTCTCAAATTGTAAATTTTCAAGCATTGATTATTCACCTCAATTGATGTTTTCAGTAAAAGATGTTATTCATCCATCCCGTGTTGCGGCCATCTTGTTTCCTCTTCATCCTGCTCGAATGCTTCACATTTTGTGCTTTACATTGGGAGGAAGTCTTTCAGCCTGGTGGTTTTTAGGAATCAGGAATGAAGAAGATGGCTATTTTACAAAAGTTAGCAAAAAGTATGTGGATTGAGCCAAGTTTCAACAAAAAATATTGGTAGAGTTCTTGAAGTACTTGTTTGTCTTGACTGTGTTGCATGCCTGGCTCTTGTGTAGGTTTGGTTTTCAATTTTCAAACAAATTCTCAGAATAAATTTGAAAAACAGTTGCCAAGTTGTTGTGCAATAGTATTTTCACCATTTTTGACTGACGTTTTTATCACAACATCCTGTCCATAGAAAATATGCTGGTATTTAGTCTTTGGTGGTGGTTTTCATACCATAACTGAAGACTGAATTGGACCATGTTGGATTTTGCGCCATTTTTTACCCTTTGGCTCAAGGTTGCCAGGAATTTTTAACATGACCCTCACTAGCCCCTAGGTAATTTAAAAAACATAACCTAGTGGTTTTTTTTCTCATAATTATCCTTTATTTATGCTAGGGAAAGTCAAATTTGATTTATTTGTAACTGAGTGGTAACAAAAACAACCTTTGAATGAAGTGTGTTCTATTTATGGTTATGTTTAAGGTGTAAATTACTTTAAATCAACCCTTGTATTTCTGAAAAAAAAGTATTAAGGAGAATTTAAGTCTAGCAGGTACCAATCAGCAACAAAATTGTTGAGACATTCTACTCAGTTAGGGTAACTTCAGAGAACAAAGCAATCCACACCCCTCCCCTCCATTCAAAGTTGGGGTGTTTGTTGTTTTCTAAAGGTAGCTCAAACAGCAGCAAAACGTTGGATGGAGGGGATAGGTGAGGGAAAACTATATTTCCCCTTTTGAAGTCAGTAAAAGTTCAGAAAGGCCCATTAGGGCAAAGTTTCTCAACCAATTTGATTGTACAGTGTTATTTTAATTATCACTTTCTTATTTTATTGTATGCATGCCCTGTTATTTGTGTCTGTAGGTCAGAGGTATTTTGCCTGAATGAACAACTTGTGTTTGGTGTTCTCTTTGGAGCGTGGCTGGTAAGCAATGATTAAGAAGATTTCTATAAAAGATTAAGTTTGTCCTCCCTAATGCCTGTGCATCCTACACTAGCTACTGCCTGGTTAGCTCAGTTGGGAGAGCTCCGGTCTGCCAAGTTGGAGGACATGAGCTCAACCCCAACCAGACCATCAACCAGGGTCTTTAAAAAACTGGTAAAATCATGCTGGGTTTGATTTGTGATTTTGTCTCAGTTCAGATGATCACGTCATTGGTTGGTGATATTAAGCCTTTGGACTTGTACCCTTCATCCTATGTTATCAGTAATTTGGAAGGGGATGTAAAAAAAGCTTATACACCACTTGCACATCTCCCATAATGACCTAGTTATTTGCCCCCCCCCCCCCCCCCACCATTTTTAAAACCTTTTTTTTTTTTTTTTCCCCCCCTTATTTCCCCCCCCCCAAAAAAAATATAAAAAAAAATAGAGAATGGAAGAGAGCTCGCGGGGGAGAAGAGAAAAGATCTCGGGCGTGCGTGCGTCATAAAAAAAAAAAAAATGAAGCAAGCACAGCGCCACGGTACGTGTAAGTTTTGAACATGCCCTCTTTTTGTGGGTGATTTAAGCCCTTGTGCCTTTTCCCTTCCTCCCTTTTTTTTAGGAATTTTGGAGGGGGAGTTAAAAAAAATTTTTACCCCCTTTCCCAAC